AGTATACATGAACCGCACAAGCCATTAAAGAATGCCACACAAACAGAAAAGGATGTTCATGAGTTATGGATATAACAAGCTACTATATAAAGCTCATATTCGTCTCATGTCAATGCTAATTTAAGTTCCTTAGACACCAAATGAAAAATTCTTCCAGATGTCTGATTTTCACACTCAATTGCTCGACAACCTTGAATTGGTTAATTAGTTGATCTTTTGTGACTGATGAGCAACACATCAATTGCCTAGCAGAAAGTAAAGACTTGTTTACAAGTCAATTGTCTAGTTGCAAATAATCCGTGGTGATAGAGTTAGACCCATTCCCTAGCAGTGAGTCATGACTTGTTGTCAAGTCAACTGCCTTGTAGCAAGTAATATTACCATCTCTTTCCTTCAAAATACACATACAAACACAGGTATTCATCAAATGGTGGAAAGTCTGGGTATTCTTCAGTCCAAAATTACGATCCCCCAACTTAAAAGAAATTAGCTGAAGCAATTCAATATTAAGCTGATCTTCTTGAGCTCCATTCTGTCCCATCAAAATAATAATTTATTTTCCATCTGTTAGATGTGCATAGAAGAGGTAACCAGTGGTTGCCCATACAGAAACAAATCTGAACAAGGACAGGATGCAAACAAATTGCAAGATGTTTCGGAGTGAGTGGACGTGGAGATGTAGGAACAATGGGCAATAAGGAGGTACAGTTGGAAAGGCCAAGAGAGAAGGGGAAAGGGGAATGTCGAAAGAGTTGTACGGATTCTAATTACAGAAATCCCATAATATCCATAAATGTCAATGAGAAAAGGACATTAGTTCATAAATATGGCAACCTGTAAGAATACACTGCACCACACACAAAGAAATTAAATTCTAAAAACAACTCTCCTGGAGGAATGTGCATATCAACTATCATCAACTGCTTTCCACTAGAAACTTTTCTTAATTAAATTACCCATTTACAAGAAGTTATCCAATAATTGAAACTCGCTCCTTTATACCTGAGTTATTTTTTATGTTTGTTGACCTGACATGCAAGTAATTCCATAATAACGTTAACCCTAAGATACATCAGAACAAATATATTCAACTTTTATCAAGTTCTTGCGAGTAAACATCCTAATAAACAATTGAAACATAATGCACAGAACATATATCATTATGTATAATTGGGCCTGTTTGGCATGGCTTTTGAAAAGCCAAAAGGAGTTTCTGATATCCAAGAGCTGTTTTTGGACCCATTTGACTAATTTTATGAAAGTAATTCTGATAATTAAAAGAGCTTTTAGAGGAAGTTAGTCCATTATGTTTTCATTAAAAGCACTTCTGGAATAGGAAGTGCTTTTAAAAGTTAGTTTTCAAACAAAAATTAAGGTAATTTCTTCCAAAAACTCTTCTACATGAAGCAAAAGACATGTCAAACGTGCCCTTTCACTTTATTATGATCAGGTATCACTTTCTAATGGTTATCAAGCTTCTGTTTGGTATAGATTCTATAAAACTTATTTTTTTCAAACTCATTTTCAACCGTACATTCTCCGAATAAAATAATTTTGCACATGAAGCCACAGATTTTTCATATTTTTTTACCATACATTCTCCACGGCCTTGTTGGGGGGAGTCACTCCTGTGTTCTCTCTCTTGGATAGGTCAATCTCACGCCCTTGTCAGTAAGCATATCTGTTGTGATATTGCTGTCAAGATATTTGGTCTCTACCCGAACCCATGAAAAAAATGGTATC